TTTTGACACAAACAGAAACCACATACGGACTCACCTCCCATTTCATCAAAGTATTTTTTTCTAAAATAAGTTTCTTTCTTCAGTAGTTACTGTGATGTGATTTTCTAGACCGGCTCCCCCCAAATGATGCTCCCTGTACCCATCCTATTTTATCACATTCAGCATGTTTCCCGAGTTCATTTCCCTAGCGCTTACAACTACAGCAGGTACTTTTAAAGGCAATGCAACAAACACCCAAAACGTTATCCTCTACAGCTGTGCAGTTATCTTAATCAATATCACAAATTAAAATCCTTCTTTAGTTGAGAGTTATGGATTATTTTTATAAGACTGAAGAAGACTTCTTAACTGAAGGTGTACCGTTGTAGCTAACTCCATCACATATGGTGTGTGTAGAAGACACCTCCTGCCCTTCCTTGATCTTATACCCCATTTACCTCCAGTTTGAATCGACACGTCACTTGGAAAAGCAACTAAAATTTTTTCTCTTCCACATCACTAAAGAAAACCCTAAAATTATCACCATTTCACCCAACATGCTTGCACCTTATGTGTTGAAACGCGTCATTCAGTCAGTGAGAACCTACTTGTTTGCGTCTAAAGCGAGCATTCATCCTCAATTCAGCTGAAGAGCACAGGACTTCAAAGCAGCAACATCAGACAGAGCCAAAGATGACATCGTCTCCAGCGCCCATGCACAGTAAGCCAGCGTTTTATAGCACATTTTATATCACGACTTGTATTTGCATTTCTATCTGTACATAGTAAAGGAAAGGCAACCTATGGCTATTAAAACATAAAGACGTTCTTATAAAGGCAGCAATTATTCAGAGGAGGGAAAGCAAAAAAAAAAAAAAAGAATTAAACAGATACATAAAACACACTACCGAGTTTGTTTTGCCTCCCTCCCCACTTATTTTTATTTTTGGCATTTGAAACCTCCAAGTACTTCACCTTTTACTGCTCCACTGCTGTTATTGTTGGTAACAAAATAATTCTGGCTGTATTTGTTAGCCCATAGCTCTCAGCCTGTTTTGCAAATGATTAGACACATTGTTTGATTCTGAAAGACCATCGTCTTGGCTTCCATAGGACATCATTGTGTAAATTATGCCATAAGCAAATAATGCATGAAATGTGAAACGTTACCTATGCCAAAGCTGATCTAATGTTTCTTGGTGTGGAAAGAGAGACTTTAAGAAGAAAGGATTAAAAAAAAGTCAATGAATTTGAAAGGCTCATGCCAAAAAATACTTGAAAATAATAATAATAATGATAATAACGTAACGCTACAGACATTTGCTGTTGAAAGTAGAATTCAGCTTCATGATTCACACCGTAGTGAGCAAGCAGATACCACGGGCCATGTTTGGACAGCTTAAATTCAAGCTCAGCCAAGTGTTCCCCATTAGCTGACTCGAAATTTTCAGTGCCACCAAGCCAATGAGAATGACAAGGTCCGAATCAGTGTCTCAAGTATGGCCCTGCTCAAAGGAGTAGCTCTCCAACACCTCCTGTCAGAGAAAAGGACCAACCGAGGTGCACGTTCAGATTGCAGGACTATGCAGATGCAAGGATAAAATACTGGAAGAACCATTTGCAGCTTTTTTGGATGGGGGAAAGACTGCTCAGGGCGGAAAAAACCCCACAGATATCAAAAATAAAGAAGCAGAAGAAAACGCTGAAGATGTGCTTTGGTAGTCAGGCTACCTAAAGTTTCTCAAGACCCTTTTTTTTTTTTTTTAAAAGACATTTGCTAATCATGCTGCTGTAAGTGGGGCCCTCTTGTAGCTCTGTAATTTCTGTTCATTAGGAAGGCCACTGAATGACTCATCCAGGTACAACGGCAATTTCGCAGGCAGCGTGTAACCTTGGGGTAGTTTTAAGCAGGCCTAGTCCCACCTGGAGAGAGCCCACCGCACACCACAGGCGTGCTCTGCACGGCGTGACAACCTGCTGGGGGGACACCTGTCAGAGACAGCTTCTTCGGCACTCCTCTCCAAACGTACCACCCAGTCTAAAACAACTGGCAGCGCAGAGCATCTTCACCTTAATGTTTCCAAGGCAGATTCATGGGAGAAAGAAGTTATTTAAAACATTATTTAAGTCTGAAGAGATAAGACCCTAATTTCATTTTTGGTTTGTATTGGAACTATCTAGTTATTTTTCTAGATAAAGGTCTGTCTAATCAGTTGGTCATCATTAAAATCAAGATTTTTTTTTTAAATATGGTAGCATTTCTGGTTTTACTAACAAGTAGCATTTTAAAACATTTAAGCAACCACATAGCTTAATATGCATCTTGATTTTTATTTTGTAAGAAATTTGCTCCGTTATCACCTTTAATAAGAGATACATCTACTTGTGTAGGTACATGTGATATATGCAAAGCTAAATTTAGATGAAAACTGGAATTCATTTAAAAATACACAGACCATCTTCATCTGCTAGAAAACAAAACCCACACATTTCTTACGTATACAAACATTTAGAAGTTTATAAAACATGTTTTGTCTTTTAAACACTGTGGTAAATAAACTAAGTATAATTTGCAGTTAGTGATTTAGCTGATTATTTCTGGTCACTGTGTCCTGCCAGACAACAGAATGACTGGATCTCGTCCCCCCACATCCCTCCACCTCATCATCGTATCTAAACTGCAGGGGGGGAAAGAAAAAACACTTCCCAACAGAGTTCTCAATTTTATGCAGTGGTCACCAAATAATGCTCCTGAATACAGCAGCAAAAGAAAATACTCCCTCTGTTCAAGAAGAGGGGATTACTATTTGTTCACAGTTGGTTTTCGACTCTAGCAACCTTTTCTAGTTAATTATCTACTAACTCAGTCGTTCAACTGTCTGTCTTCAGAAGTTGAACTAGCACATATTGCTCATTAATGTTTTATTTTACCATACTGTTGGTTTGTTTAGATGTTAATACATCAAAGAATCTTGCTTTACAAATATTATATCAAACGTATTTCTCAATTCATAATATTTTAAATAAGTTGTTTATCCTGATTCCTTGTCACAGAAATGCTTGTTCCATCTTTCATGCATCTACCTTGGCTGAGGTTTTCAGCTCAGCTAAACTGTTTTCAGAGTTTATACCAACCTTCTTTTGTGGGGGGTGTCTGCGCTAGATTCCCCCACTGAAGGTGGTGAATTCTGTGTATCACGTGTCCTTTGCAAAACAGATTGTGGACAACATCAATCAATCTGTATATAAACATCACGATACTGACAGCATATTGCTGTACATACGTGCACGAGTAAAAGAGATTATACTCAACTGCTTGGTGAACCCACTGCACCTACGTAAGTACCATGACAAAACCACTTATTAAAAATAAATAAATGAATAAATAACATTCTTCATCATCACCGCTTCATACTGCAGCACTCTCTCATGAAGAAAGTTATTCATTTTCATCCCAGTGGATCTTTTTCCTCCATCCCTCCTGTAGAATTATTTTAAATCACTGGCACAGCAAAGCATTATTTTATTGGAAAATAAACTAATTAATTCACACTTGGTGAATTCATTACTGAAGGCTGCAGGCCTTGACCAGGCTAATTCTGACCATCCCACTGAATGTCTGTGACAAGCAGGTCTAGGAGTGATTTGAAATGCACTTGGGAAGGAACAGCTTTCTACAAATCTTCTACTGTGTATCTCAACGTTGAGGCACTCAACACTACTAATCTTCTAAGTAGTGACTAGTAAATGATAGTTTAAGTGATAAACAATAGTTTAAAGATGTATTAGGACCTCAATTTTTTTTTTTAATGGAATATATCAGCAAGATTGCTTCAGGTGAAGTTTTACCCTTTACTTTGGTATAATTTAGATTTATTTTTTTTTAATAAATACTACTACTGTGGTTTTTTACATCTGGATTTTGCATGTTACTACTTACATAAACACAAGTTTGCTTGTGACTCTAGAAAGACAATGACAGTTTGGGGGATTGTGGCCAGAAGCACTGATACTGAAACGTCAGTTTTCCTTTCCTCTTCTTGCTGTACTGCTTACTTAAAGTTGTACTCCCCCTTTTGTTTCTTCCTGACTCAAAGACGTCAGTAGGAGGTAATTTCTCCATGTGTACTCTAATCTAACATCACTTTTTGATGGACTTACTGTTAGTCAGTCAGCTAAATCACATTTCCAGCACTAGCGTAATGCCAAATTCTGTCAAGGGGCACAACAAAGCGAATTTTGTCTTTGATAAAGTAACAGTAAGTCCAGATTTTCCTCACTCAAAAAGTTCCTATTTTAACTGCCAGAGTTCTTATTCTTTTCTACCTGTTTGAGGCAGGCAGTTAATCCCACCCCAGCTATCATGCAGGTACTAATTTATGCTTATGGAATAAAAAAAGTACTGGCCTTTTTCCAAAGAAATATCAACTTAGCAATTTTTTTTTTTTAATCTATTCACACTTCTGCTTTTTGAACACAAAAATACGGTTAAACTGTAGAGTTGTAACTATAGAGACAAGTCACGATAAACACAAACTAACTCACGAAGCCTGTGGAAGAAAAGCAAGACTGCTGGTCTGTGTTCCCTATTCACACAGAGCTGGAAGGAGAGTCCCAGCTAAAAAATGCAGCGTCTGTGTAGCTCCAGCATCATACAATTAGTACTTGTCATCCTCAGAGCTCAAAATAACGCAGTGTGTTTGCTTGCAGAAGAAAGAATGAGTTTTCTTAAGAAAATTGGATCTCTGTGCTAATAGCGCAAGTCCACAAATAAGATTAAGGTTTATAAAACTGGGAATTAAAGATACCGTCAGACAACCAAGTGAGAATTAATCAAATAAGTCAGAAACTAATAAGAAGAGATAAGCATTTCAGTGTAAATCTCGAGTCCAGTTGTGCTCCCTGATTTCTTAAGACAAAATCTTCAGAGACCACAGTAATACCAACAAACTGTAGAACTAGCACAAGGTACCTCTCCTTTGCTGATCAGCAGGCAACAACTCTATAAAGCACTATTTTACCCAAAATCCACGCAGACATCAGCCCACTGGTACCTGGCACCCGTAACAAATGCACTTTGGTGTCCCGGACTCAAGCAGAGGCCGAACTCGCTGGCGGCCAGCTTCAAAATGGCATCACAAATTGATTGCCCAAAATGAGACACGGCAAACCAGCCATCGTCAACACCTGTGGCACAGCGGTTAGTGTGGCGTATCGACATCCCAATACACTCGCGGAGTGTAATCAACCCGATTCCTCCAAGGAAAAGGCCAGAAACCCCAGAGAGTTTGCCCTTGTGGGCATGCAAACCCGTTGTTATCATCTACTGACAGCCATCAGCGGTGCCTCTGCCCCGAGGTGCAGTCACTCCGCCCTTCTTCCCAACTGCTAGCGTACCTCTGCCTGCCTTCTCCCCTTGTAAGAAGTGTTACCGATATTGATCCATGTAACAACGTATGCTGTGGGATCGCCTTTGCTTCAGCAATATTTTTGTGGCCCCACTGAGTTCAAAACATTTATTTTTTCAGGACTTTTTTTTTTTTCTTCCCCTTTGCACAACTTCAGTTCTTTTTCCCTTTATTAGGAGCCAAAGCATAGGGAACACCATTTTCAACTTGACCAACATGGGTAAATATAAATCCGGCTGATGCTGTCGAGTTTCTTCTATTTCTGACAGTCTACATAACCGCATGGCGCGTGACTAGTCTGCTCCTTCCTCCTTTGACATAAATATTGTAAAAAATAAGAATAAAAACAAGCCTAGCACAGATCTTTCAGGCAGGAGATTATAGACATTTTACAGAGTTACTTTAAAAGCCCCTAGTGAAAGATCTGCCACAGGCTTTGTGCAAGTCTGAACAAAATCTTAACGGTTCTGCCTTTAACCATACTATATGGCTAGTTGAAGACTTTCAGTACACGGGGGAGGTATGATTATACAGTCCACAAAAACCACACTGTCCTGTCCCTGTCGTGCCCTTCTCCGTCCTGTGAAGCGTCTGACGTTTTTAATTTTAGTGCTAAATTCAGCCGTTTTTCCAGAACGGAGATAACTCTTGCTGAGTTCATTCTTCGATCCCTTCTTTAAGGAAAGTTAAATAGGTACAACTTCTGCTGTACCCTATTGCCCAGCAGAATAGCTGGCTTTAACGAGCCCGGGTATAACGAATCTGTGTTCAATCACTTCATTCTTAGCAAGACCCGGGACTCTCGGGTGCACACCATCTGCTCCTACTGACCCGGCTGCTCTTGGATTTTTTCCATTTATTCCAGCATTTCCTCTTCTGGCACATGCTCTCACATTCCCTACCTGCTCTCTGTTACCTACTCTCTTTCATCTAAATAACCTCTTGGATCAAGCCAACTAGCCTTTAAAGAAAACAAAACCCTTGCCTGTTTGCTGCTTGGGAGCGTGCGTCACTGCTTTTCCCACAGGAACGGACATATTCAACAGCAGTACCCCAGCCGGGATGCACCCACATGATTTTTGCCTAGACCGCAAACCCTGCCATTACAATTAAGGGAGGTGGACGGAGATTTCCCGTGATGCTTGTGAGCATCTTCCTGATCAACCAGAAATCTCAGTCAAAGGCTGTATAAGGAAAGGCTCCTTCTTTCTCAAAGATTTATCCCACTTACTACACAAGCACAAATCCCTGAAGACAACAGCACAGGTTCAAGACTTTGCTGTGGCACTAAATGCCAGTTCTGGAAGCATAGTGATGTGTAAAACCGCTCCTCAATGAATACCTTGAGAATAAAAAGCTGTAAATTGCACATTCCTTAACAAAACGGTCCGTAGCTGCCTCTTGTTATAGCCCACGCAAGGGCCAGGGAACGGTGTTAAGTACCTTCTGGACTGTGCAGGCTCTGCTTCGTAGAAATCCAGAACTGGTTTCCAATCCAAATCTCCCCATTTCTGACACGGCAAAACTCAGCATGACCATTTCTCAGTTGGTCAGTAGGGATGCCTGCATACTAAGCACTAATTGTGACAGATGGGGATTTTAAAAAGCATTTAAAAAAAAAAAAAAAGAAAACTTTCATGGTCAACAATTATTTCAAAGAAAACATGTTATCTTAACCCAAACAAGCTGCCTCTGCCTAAAATGGGTGTTCCTTGTACTAGCAGAAAACATGTACCATGAACTTCTGTGCCTTGTTCCCGTAATTGTTAGAACGGTAGGGTTTTTTAAACGGAAACTATTAGATTGCATTTTTGGAGGATGATAAAAGACAAAATATCAGCAAATATCTCAAACAACATTGTGGGGTTTCCCCTATCAAAACATCCACATTTCCAATTTTTTTTTTTTTTTAAAACAGATTACATGAATTCATTTTTTTCTTAAGTCCCGGTAAATGTTAGTAAGAATACCTGACAGCGGTGGGTTTTGAGGGCAGGCGCTCTAACCGTAGAGCAGAATGCCACTGTCATTAGTGCCGTATAAACAAGAGGGGGAGGGTCACAAGGAGGAAGAGAAACAGCCCCAGATCCCACAGGCCTTATTATCTGAATATTCCTGAAGCCAATTACAGGCTTGTTTCCCAGTAACATTCTCCTCACAGCATAAATATACCTGGAAATAATCTAAAATAGTAAAAAACAACAAGAACATTAAAAAAACCCCTAACATTTCCAGGCTTAAGTCACACATTACTATCAAAATTACCCCCAAAACAAACTATGATAATAATATGATAATAAATTTCACTTAAATGATAGGGTAAGGAACTACATAGCAAAAATAAGAGGTTTTTTCCATACTTCTTTGGAAAATGAAGTGACTAATACCAAAGTCACATAAATTTACTACTAGAGCTTTAACAAGTTTCTTAAATACGCCTTGTTATTTGAAATTAAACGGCCTCTTCTTCCTCTTTGCAAAAGACCTACTCTTGGTGCTAGATCTATGCGAAATCTCTACTTTCACCGCCCAACGCACCTATAAGACCGAGGCCACCGCGTGGCTCAAAATGAAGTCGTACTACAGTGCTCGGTAACATTTCTGTTTTATGGGTCTGGTAAACAGCGCAAGTAAGAGGAAAAATATCACCATTGAAATATCACTATTTTCGTTCAGAATCACCTGTGTAATATGAATTTATATAAGTCCTTATGAGATGACCTGACAGCTAACAGGAAAGCAGTAGAAGAGTTTAGTACCCTCAGGCGGTGCCCGGGTATAACTATACTTTGGCTCAACGTCAACATAACTTTTTTTGCTTGGTAAATGAAGACTACTGAAGAACAGAATTCCTGTAAATACAATAAAATAAAATAAAAAAAAACGGAATACCCTACCTCTGTTTAGTTTATTGTCAGAAGTATTGTGCAACTACGGCGCGTTAAGTCAAATTACTAATCCACAGGCGGAGAAGACCACAAGTCCGGTTCTTCCCTGCCACTGGAAACTGGGTGGCACAAGCCTTCGCACACCCTGACCAAGCTCCTCCTCAAAACCAAGGAGGGTTTTGTCTCATCGCCTCTGTTCGGGACCTCTTCTGGGACTCTGCTGCTCTGAGGGTGCGAGAGCCTCTTACTTAGAATCATAGAATCATTAAGGTTGGAAGAGACCTCTAAGATCATCGAGTCCAACCATCAACCCAACACCACCAGGCCCACTAAACCATGTCCCTAAGCGCCGCATCTACCCGTCTTTTAAATACCTCCAGGGATGGGGACTCAACCACTTCCCTGGGCAGCCTGTTCCAATGTTTAACCACTCTTTCAGTAAAGAAATTTTTCCTCACATCCAATCTAAACCTCCCCTGGCACAACTTGAGGCCATTTCCTCTCGTCCTATCGCTTGTTACTTGGGAGAAGAGACCGACACCCACCTCGCTACAACCTCCTTCCAGGTAGTTGTAGAGAGCGATGAGGTCTCCCCTCAGCCTCCTTTTCTCCAGGCTAAAGAGAAAGTACTTTGGGTACTTCCTACCCAAATGTACCTGCCCTCAAGAACAGACCTAGAAACACCACAACGTCATTTCACCTACAGATTTTTTTCTTTTCTCACTGAAACAACACTTAAACAAAACATATCCCTGTCAAGCCAGGAATTAAACACATCGCGCGTCCTTTACAGCCCCGCGAACGCAACTGTCTTCCCGGTATCCGGGGGCCCGGCTGAGGAGGCTAATGACATTTACGATCCGACCCGGGAGACCGCACACAGCCGCCGAAGGGCTACGCACAACCTCACGCCGAGCCCAGCGACTGCGTGTCACAGCGTGAACGAACGGCGCGTGGCCTGTCCCTAACACGCGAACACCTGGACGGAAGAAGAAGCGCGACTACCGAACGCGGGCAGTACTAGTCGCTTGGCTGG